GGCCAGAAGAGAGGCCATGAATCAGGAAAATAGGTCAAAATCTAATCCCAAATTCACTGTGAAAGGTAAGGAGTCTGGTTAAAGAAGAGAATTTCAGAGTATCAAATCTGAGATGTAATTGTTAACAATAATAAATAAACCTGAAGGGCTTCCCTGCTGGTGGATAGCAAAATGAAGGTAGGGATCACTGAAGGTAGGGCCAGGGACAGGATGACCAGCATGTTGGTTCATCAGTGTGGAAGTAGGAAAAGGATGGAGAAGTCCAGGCCAGGTGCTATAGTCATTGGGGAAAGCAGGAGGGTGCCCTGAAGCTTAACATACAGCGGCAAGAAAAATAGAGGATCATATGAGAAAATTGTCTTGCCCTCAAGGTAAGAAGTTGTCAAGTCCTGGTGTTGGTACAGGAATATGCCTGCCTCTTCTCACAAAATCACTTTGTTTTTGTTTTTTTTTTCTACTCATTCACCAAGGAGACAAAATCAGTTCTTAGGCATGAGACATTTAGAAGTAGAAGGAACAGTCTTCCTTGGAGAAGATCAGCAGAGAGGAAAGAAAGCGTATTATCAAGGGAAAGCATATTTCCATTTTTTAAATTGAGCATTATATGATAAGCACTGAACCAAGAGCTTTATTATATTCTTTTTTAGTCCTCACAACAATCCTGAGGGAAGATGGGTAATATATTTTCAATTTACAAATGAGGAATTGATGCTAAGAAGCTAAATTTCTTGATGTCGCTCAGCTAATAGGGAAGAAATGAAAAGACCATTCAAAAATAATCTAAGCAATGTACTGGTATAGCAGTGAAGGGAATTTTCTCTCTCCCATCTGAAAGTTCAGTAATTTGGGTCTATAAAACAAACTGACAATAGACGTATTGATCTCAGCCAAAAGGCCAAGAAGTGATGACAGTAGACATATTAGGTTGGTGCAACAGTAACTGCAGTTTCAGACCATGAATTTTAGATCATTATAACTAGGCTCAAACATACCTTTATTAGTCAAAATAGGAATCATTACAATCAACACATTTTTGCCAATGAGAAATAAGTTTGTTTATTCCTGCAGCATGAAACTCCTTTGGGATTTGAGCTTTCAGATTCGACGAACTCTTGGAAAGCATTTTCTGCATCCTGCTGGTTGTGGAAATGTTTTCCCTGCAAAAAGTTGTCAAGATGCTTGAAGAAGTGGTAGTCAGTTGGCGAGAGGTCAGGTGAATATGGCACATGAGGCAAAACTTCATAGCCCAATTCATTCAACTTTTGAAGCATTGGTTGTGCAACCTGTGGTTGGGCCCTTTCTGTTGACCAATGCCAGCTGCAGGCGTTGCAGTTTTCAGTGCATTTCATCAATTTGTTGAGCATACTTCTCAGATACAATGGTTTCAGCGGGATTCAGAAAGCTGTAGTGGATCCTTCAAAACCATGATTTTTTTGATTTTTCAATCAGCTCATGAGGCACCCACTTACGGAGCTTTTTCACCTTTCCAACGTGCTTTAAATGCTGAATGAACGTAGAATGGTCGACATTGAGTTCTTTGGCAGTGTCTCATGTAGTTGTAAGAGGATCCACTCCAACCATTGCTCTCAACTGGTCGTTGGCAACTTCCGATGGCCAGCCACTGCGCTCCTCATCTTCAAGGCTCTCGTCTCCTTTGCAAAACTGCTTGAACCACCACTGCACTGCACGTTAGCAGTTCCTGGGCCAAATGTGTTGTTGATGTTG